TTGCTGAGGGAGGTTCTAGTGCTCACATGGTACAGAAGAAGAACTCCCAGCCCAACAAGTACAAAAACAATAAGAACAAAACTCAGGGCAAAGGCAAGTTTGATACAAAGAACAAGCCATCACATTCTACCAACTTCAAGAAGAATTCTCATAAGAAGGGGAAGGGACTTTGCCATGTCTGCGGTGATCCTAATCACTGGGCTCCAAAGTGTCCTAACCGCTTTGAGGAGCGCGAACATGAGAAGAGCGGCAAGTCCGCTAATGTTGTCATCGGTGATACTGATATGAAGGAATCAGGGTACGGTATTTTTCCTACCATCCTTTCAGTATTTCAATCCCCTGATTGGTTAATTGACGCCGGTGCCAATGTACATGTTTGTGCTGACGCCTCCATGTTTTCTTCTTACCAGGCAACAGGGACTTCACCCGTGCTGATGGGGAACGGGTCACATGCCATCGTTCGAGGTGTTGGTACGGTCGATCTGAAGTTTACTTCGGGGAAGACTGTGCGCCTGAAGAACGTTCATCATGTGCCGTCCATTAATAAAAATCTCGTTAGCGGTTCCCGTTTATGTCGAGATGGTTTTAAGTTGGTTTTCGAATCCAATAAAGTTGTAATTTCTAAGTGTGGACAATTTGTTGGAAAAGGCTATGAGTGCGGAGGCTTGTTCCGCCTATCTTTGTCAGATATTTGCACTAAAGTTATTAATAATGTTTGCCACAATAATGAGTCTGATATTTGGCATTCACGACTCTGTCATATTAACTTTGGTTACATGACGCGGTTAGCCAATATGAATTTAATTCCGAAAATCTCTACTGTCAAAGGATCCAAGTGCCAAGTATGTGTGCAAGCTAAGCAACCTCGCTAGTCCCATAAGACTGCAGAGGCAAGAGACTTGGCGCCACTAGAGCTTATACATTCTGACCTTTGTGAGATGAATGGCGTGTTGACAAAAGGTGGAAAGAGATACTTCATGACGTTGATTGATGACTCCACTAGATATTGTTATGTGTATCTTCTGAAATCAAAAGATGAGGCTTTGACTTTCTTCAAAAACTATAAAGCTGAAGCAGAGAACCAACTTGATCGGAAAATTAAACGGCTTAGGTCCGATCGTGGTGGAGAGTATTTTTCCAATGAATTTGATCTGTTTTGTGCGGAACATGGTATAATCCATGAGAGGACGCCTCCCTACTCACCCCAGTCAAATGGGGTAGCCGAAAGAAAGAACCGAACTCTAACTGATATGGTTAACACCATGTTAGACACTTCGGGTATATCCAAGGAATGGTGGGGGGAGGCGCTAATGACTGCGTGTCATGTCCTAAACCGAGTTCCCACAAAGCATAAGACCATGACTCCATTTGAGGAATGGGAAAGGAAAAGGTTGAAACTCTCTTACCTACGTACTTGGGGTTGTTTGGTGAAAGTCAATATACCAATTCCCAAGAAGCGCAAGCTTGGACCAAAAACCGTGGATTGTGTTCTTCTGGGCTATGCTTTTCATAGCATCGGCTATAGATTTTTGATAATAAAATCTGAGGTATCCGACATGCATGTTGGTACGATTATGGAATCAAATGATGCAACTTTCTTTGAGGACATATTTCCTATGAAGGATATGTCGAGTTCATCAAATCAGGAGATACCTACTCCATCTAGTGAGGAATTCACTGTAATTCCTGAACCCACCATTGCGATGGAACACGTTGAGAATCCTGTTGAGGGTAACAATGGAACTCCTGTGAGGAGTAAGAGACAGAGGACTGCAAAGTCTTTTGGTGATGATTTCATTGTGTACCTCGTGGATGACACACCCAGGACTATTTCAGAAGCCTATGCATCTCCTGATGCTGACTACTGGAAGGAAGCTGTACATAGCGAGATGGATTCCATCTTAGCTAACGGTACCTGGGAGATCACTGACCGTCCATATGGGTGCAAACCTGTAGGATGTAAGTGGGTGTTCAAGAAGAAGCTTAGACCTGATGGTACGATTGAAAAGTACAAGGCACGGCTTGTGGCCAAGGGTTATACCCAGAAAGAAGGTGAAGACTTCTTTGATACTTACTCACCCGTGGCTAGACTGACCACAATTCGGGTACTATTATCACTGGCTGCCTCACATGGTCTTCTCGTTCATCAAATGGACGTTAAGACGGCTTTCCTTAATGGAGAGTTGAAGGAGGAAATTTACATGGATCAGCCAGATGGTTTTGTAGTACCTGGTCAGGAAGGAAAGGTGTGCAAGTTATTAAAGTCTTTATATGGCCTTAAACAAGCTCCTAAGGAGTGGCATGAGAAGTTCGAAAGAACATTAACTGCTGCCGGCTTTGTAGTAAACGATGGTGACAAGTGCGTGTACTATCGCTATGGTGGGGGCGAAGGAGTTATTCTTTGTCTGTATGTCGATGACATATTGATCTTTGGAACCAAACTTGATTTAATCAAGGAGGTTAAGGATTTCTTATCTCGCTGTTTTGAGATGAAGGATCTAGGAGTAGCTGATGTTATCTTAAACATCAAGCTGTTGAGAGATGAGAATGGTGGGATCACACTGCTTCAGTCTCATTATGTGGAAAAGGTCTTGAGTCATTTTGGGTATAGCGACTGCACGCCTTCTCCAACTCCATATGATGCTAGTGTGTTGCTTCGAAAGAATCGACGGATTGCTAGAGATCAACTGAGGTATTCTCAGATTATTGGCTCGCTTATGTATTTGGCGAGTGCCACGAGGCCTGACATCTCTTTTGCTGTGAGCAAGCTGAGTCGGTTTGTGTCAAAACCGGGAGATGATCATTGGCATGCGCTTGAGAGAGTTATGCGCTATTTGAAAGGCACCGCGAGCTATGGGATTCACTACACTGGGTATCCAAGGGTACTGGAGGGTTATAGTGACTCAAACTGGATATCTGATGCTGATGAGATTAAGGCCACAAGTGGTTATGTTTTTACACTTGGTGGTGGCGCTGTTTCCTGGAAGTCTTGCAAGCAGACCATCTTAACGAGGTCAACTATGGAAGCAGAACTCACAGCATTAGACACTGCCACTATTGAAGCAGAGTGGCTTCGTGAACTCTTGATGGACTTACCTATGGTTGAAAAACCAATACCCCCTATCCTGATGAACTGTGATAATCAAACTGTGATCGTCAAGATAAACAGTTCTAAGGACAATATGAAGTCCTCAAGGCATGTGAAGAGGAGACTAAAATCTGTCAGAAAATTGAGGAACTCCGGAGTTATTACGTTGGATTATATCCAAACGTCGAAAAACTTGGCAGATCCCTTCACAAAGGGTCTATCATGTAATGTGGTAGATAATGCATCGATGGAGATGGGTTTGACACCCACCGCATGAGTTGTCCATAGTGGTAACCCACTCTATGTGATCGGAGATCCCGTGAAGTAGAAGTGGGAGACAAGCTGTTGGTCAGCTGGGAGGAGAGTATCCCTATATTAATTATCCCACTCCGTAAAGATGTAATACTCTCCTGATCTGCATGGCAGGTTGTTAATTATCTTAATGTGTTCCAAGTGGCTTATTCGGGTAAGCAGAGATGTTGTCCTGCAGAACATCTTCTGAGGAACACACCTATATGAATTTGACTGTCAACGTCGCAGTCTGTGAGAATTGGGTGTTCTCTAATAAATTCATGAAAGGCCCTGGAGTATGACGTATACGCTCCACCCGCGGGGAAGCCTTGCGGCAGCCCAGTATCAGTCAAGAATTTGTGTGAAACTAGTTTCACAGAAAACTTGTAGTTCAAGGCATAGTCCACTATTCAAGTTGTGATTTAGTGTAGCATAAATTTCTAAGTGGAAGTTCAACTTCACAGTCTCCACTAAGCACCGATATATAAAACAATGTTTTGGAACTAAATGATGAGATGTGCCAATGAGACTTTGTGGGGGATTGTTGAAATTTTGCTAGTAGGCCTTTGGCCCAAAGCCCAACTAAAATTCTGAAATTCTCTTGGCCCATTCATGCACACATGTGAGTGGAGTGAGTGAGGCTAAAGTTTAGTCCCACATTGGAAGTTGAGAGAGAGTTGCACCTCTTTATAAGGTGAGCTCTTCTACCACTTGTATGAGCATGAGAAGAGGAGACCTACACGCGCGCTCCTCCTCCTCGCTCGCCTCGCCACGTCACGACGCGCCGCGGGTTGCGGGATTGAGCCGAGCCGAGGACAGAGCTATGCACGTTGTCTATATTTTTGCTGCATGGGAAAATTAATGAGTCATTAATTAATAATTAATGGACGCGTTAATTACTGAACCGTTTCCGATTCTTTTGGATCGTGACGACCCGGCCCACAATATATATAGTCAGGCAGACGTCTACCCTAGCCGCCGCTTCGTATGGTTTCTCATCACTGTTCCAGATCATTGCGCCGCCAAGCTAGTCTTCTCCATCCCTCCTTCCGGCGTGCACCGCAAGAAGGGACAGCAGGCCTCCGGAACCCCGCCTCTCGTGATCCTGTACGGGAGAGGGGCGATCAGGTTTTTGGGGAGCGCACTCGCGCGACTGCTGGCAGCGACGACTTCGCGAACGACGACTTCTTCCCCGACCTCGGCAACCTCATCCTCGACGACATGGGCGACAACATCAACGCCGGCGGTGCTGCACCCGCTGCACCGTATGTGATTCTATCCTTCCTGTTCGAGATCGTGGTAGAATTCATGTTTCTAGTATGTGCCCTAGATGTGATATGTTCATCTGCTATGCTAGTTCGCATGATTAGTTTAATCTCTGCTGCTGTGCTCATGATTTATATTCTGTTTATTCGGATTAAATCTCGTAGTAATTTGCTCATATTTTCAACATTGAGATGCGGTTCGAAGTCTTCGAGGGCCTTCTCGGCGTCGACACCCTGCAAGGTCTCCAGGAGGTTCACCTCAGAGTCAATAGCGCAGTAGATGAAATAACCAACTTCATAGTAGAAGATTTGAAGGCCATCAAGAAGCCAAAGATAATCGTGGATCATGTTATCAGCAGCTGAAATGTGGTATTCTCTTGGAGCGCTTTCTCATCATCCTACATTTCCACTATGTTTGTTGAGATTATTGATTTTATTATTTGTGCCATTCGTACTCCAACAAATACGGTTCCTGTATGCCACTATTATTGATTTGCTTTTGAAACTGATGACTTATTTCATTCCGGGCTTGTAAGTTGATGTTGCAAGAGTTGATTTTAACTTGAAACTATGAGCGTTGGACAAAGATATTTTATTAGCGATCATGAGAAAAGCTTCAGCATGAAGTGATTTGTGATACTTCTCTACATGTTGGACGAACACCGTCTTTCTTCCTGTTCCTGTCCTTCCTCTGTACGTGCTGTCTGTTTTGCTTCTGTGGATTGTTAATGCTTTTGAAGTAGAATAGAAGGTTAGGGTTTCCACAATTCCCCAGCTATGTGAAATCTAATGTTCTTTTTTTCTCTGTCAATGCTGATTTCACGACTGGTAAAATACTCCTACATGCAGTTTTTTTCCTAATGCAGATTATTTAGCTATCTTGTTGTTTTTGCATTGGTGGTCACATTACCTAGCAGGAAGAAAAAAAGGCATTGGAGGTCTCCATGGAACAAGGTTGTGCAGTGTCTTCCATGGCAGGAGGTTGTCAAGCATGAGATATTGCGTGTACGTCAAGGAGTTGCGCCGGTACAAGATCATCCCGTGGAGTAGTTAGTTAGCTAGAATACTATGTAATCTTTATCTTTCTTATCTCTAGTATTCTTTCTCTCCAAGAGATGTATCCCAACAACCTGTACGCGTATCCGGGCTCGCAACCCAGCTATTTAACACGCAACACGTCTGGCCAGGAAAGCCAAGACGTTTACCGCAAGTCGCACATGGTATCAGAGCCTTCTTCTTCCACCAGAAACCCTAGCTAGTCCATCTCCATCACGTGCGCACAACCATGTCTTCCTCCTCCGCCTCCTTCCAGTCGATGCTCGGCGGTGGAGCCCCGGAGAAGCTCACCCGCACCAACTATGTGCTGTGGCGGAAACAGATCACGCCGCAGCTGCGGGGCGCCGGCGTCTTCCATTACATCGACAGCACGGCAACCGAGCCGGCCAAAGTCCTCACCACCAAGGACGCCGCCGGCAAGGAGACCACTGGGCCGAATCCCCTCCATCCGCTTTGGGTGAAGGAGGATCAGCAGGTCTTTGGATATCTACTCCAACACTTGTCCAAGGAAGAGCTCGTCACGGTGACCACGATCACCACGGCGCGCGAACTCTGGGTGGCGCTGGCGAGCATGTTCTCGTCGCAGTCACTCAGCCGCGTCAACAACATCCGCATAGCGCTGATTAATGCGCAGAAGGGCAATCAATCGGTGGCCACCTTCTTCGCCGCCATGAGGGGTCTCGCCGATGAACTCGCCGCGGCGGGAAAACCCATCCAGGATGACGAGCTCATCTCCTACATCATCCACGGGCTGGACCAAGAGTATCAGCCCCTCGTCTCCGCACTAGATGCCCGTGTCACCTCGGTAACCCTCGATGAACTTTTTGCCATGCTCAGTAACTTTGATCAACGCATGGCGCAGTATCATGGCTCCGGCGGTGGCTTCAAATCGTCGGCCAACTCTGCATCCAGAGGCCGCGGTGGTGGCTCTCGCTCGCGTTCATCTTCCCGTGGCAAGGGGAGGTTCGGCTCCGGCGGAAGTGGCTACCCCAACAACTACTCGAACAATTCACGCGGCGGCGGGCGCTCTGGTAACTCCAAAGGGCGCCGTGGTGGTGGCAGTGGTGGTTCCAACCGGTCCCGTCCGGACTTACCCCGCTACCAAATTTGCGGCAAGCCTGGCCATACGGCAAAGGACTGCTGGTACCGCTACGAAGAAGATGACGGCGACTCCTCACAAGATGAAGAGAAAGTTGCTGCGGCGGCCGATGGCTCCTATGGAATTGACACAAACTGGTATGTTGACAGTGGTGCCACAAACCACATCACCAATGAACTCGAGAAAGTCACAATGAAGGAGAAATATCGTGGCAAAGATCAAATTCATACGGCCAATGGTGAAGGTATGGGTATAAGTCACATTGGCCACTCAATTTTTAATACCCCTAGTCGTAAAATTCATCTCAAAAGAATCCTGCATGTTCCTAGTGCTCATAAGAATCTTCTCTCCGTTCATAGAATTTCTATTGATAATCATGTTTTTCTTGAATTTCATCCTTTCTTCTTTTTGATCAAGGATCAGGCCACGAGGAAAGTTCTCTATCGAGGTAGATGTGTTCGAGGGTTCTACCCGTTGATTTCGGAGTTTAGAAGATTCAATAAACAAGCTTGTGGTGCTATCAAGCTTTCGTCCACACGATGGCATGATCGTTTAGGACATGCCTCATTTTCTTTGGTTGAAAAATTACTTAGGAAAAATAAGCTCCCGTTTGTTGGTGAGCGCAATGTTGAAACTATCTGTGTTTCATGTCAGTGTGCTAAAAGTCATCAATTACCATATCCCATATCTACTAGTGTCTCCACTAAACCCTTGCAATTGATCTTTTCTGATGTGTGGGGACCGGCCCCCTTCTCTGTTGGTAGACACACATACTATGTTAGTTTTATCGATGACTGTAGCAAATTCTCATGGATCTATCTTCTCAAAAAAAGATCTCATGTGTTTCAAGTTTTTCACAACTTTCAAGCACTCGTTGAAAGAAAGTTTGACAGTAAGATCATTGCTGTCCAATCCGATTGGGGAGGGGAATACGAGAAACTCAATTCCTTCTTCCAAAATATAGGCATATCTCACCAAGTATCATGCCCACACGCTCACCAACAAAACGGGTCGGCCGAACGCAAGCATAGGCACATTGTTGAGGTTGGCTTGGCCCTCCTCGCAGGAGCCTCCATGCCTCTCAAGTTTTGGGATGAGGCCTTTCTAACAGTTGTTCACATCATCAATATGCTTCCTAGTTGTGTCATAAATAATGAAACACCTATGGAACGTCTCCTCCACACGAAACCTGATTACACCTCTCTTCGTGTTTTTGGGTGTGCGTGTTGGCCAAATCTTCGGCCTTACAATCAATGCAAGCTCATGTTTCGCTCAAAACGGCGTGCTTTTCTTGGCTATAGCGCCCAACACAAAGGTGTCAAGTGTCTTGACATCTCCACTGGTAGGGTATATATCTCACGTGATGTTGTTTTTGATGAGACAAAATTTCCTTTTGCGGATCTTCATCCCAATGCCGGTGCCCTACTCCGCAAGGAAATCTTGCTTTTACCCTGGTATTACAAATTGTGATGATCATATGTTGACTAACCCTACTAATGGTCTCCATGAGCTTTGTGATGATGCAGAAGAAAACAGTGCAAAAATCGCAGCAAATAATGAAGAAAATGGCGCCGCAGACCCTTATTTCATGTGTCCTGGCTCGGGGGACATATCCACCTCGGGATCAACGCAGGTGCTGCAGCCAGGCAGCAGATCTTCCTCGGGCCCCGTGCCTGGCAGTGATTCTGCCGTGCCAGCCGAAACAGGAGCAGGCGGGCGCGCCGCCGAATCTGCACCAGCCACGCGGCAGAGCCTGGCGGGCGGCAGCGCTCCCCCTCATGCGCGCGACTCCGCGCCTGACAAGCGGCGGGCCGGTACTGGCTCGGGCCGCGTTCAGAGTCAGGCCCAACTGCGTGTGTACACATGTCGTGCCGCCACTCGTCAGGCGGACGCGGGGGCAGATTTGCTCAGCCCAGGGCCCAGGAAATCATTGGGCCATGATGACGCCTCCAGGCCCGGATCTTCTGCGGTGATATCGGCTTCCACACCATGACCCACGACCACAGAAGATCCCGCTTTGACATCGCCTGATGACGCTGCTGTTTCTGGAGGCCCGCGCGGATCCTCCTTGGGATCGGGTGAGGATCAGTTCGATCCAGTTCCGGGATCCTCTGCGTCGGACCTCTCTACAGAAGCGCCTGCTCCTACTCCTCCATGTCGAACGCGACTACAACAAGGGGTAATTAAACCTGTTGATTATAAACACGTTACAAAATATGGGCTGGTATGTTCTACAGGTGAACCGGGAGAATCCAATACACTTGAGGAAGCTTTGGGTGATGCAAATTGGAGAAAAGCAATGCATGATGAAATCATAGCACTTAAGAAAAATAGAACATGGCACTTGGTTCCTTCACAACGAGGTAAAAATCTTATTGACTTTAAGTGGGTTTTTAGGATTAAAAGGAAAGCTGATGGAACCATTGACCGTTACAAAGCCAGACTCGTTGCAAAGGATTTTAAACAACAGTATGGTATTGACTATGAGGACACGTTTAGTCCAGTTGTAAAGGCTGCTACTATCCGTCTTGTTTTGTCCATTGCTGTGTCCAGGGGATGGAGTCTACGTCAGCTAGATGTTCAGAACGCGTTCCTCCATGGTGTTCTAGAAGAAGAGGTTTACATGAAACAACCACCTGGGTTTGTAAACACACATGCACCACTTCATGTGTGCAAACTTGACAAGGCGTTGTATGGACTAAAGCAGGCACCAAGAGCATGGTATTCTCGTCTCAGTAAGAAGATGCAAGCACTTGGTTTTGTTACTTCAAAGTCTGACACGTCATTGTTCATTTATAACAAATCAAGTATATCCATATTTGTGCTCATATATGTTGATGAAATAATTGTGACAAGCTCATCTGATGAAGCTACAACACTAGTGCAGAACCGGGCAATAGCACCGGTTCGTAAGGCCCTTTAGTGCCGGTTCCATAACCGGCACTGAAGTGTGGGCACTAAAGGCCCCCCCCCCTTTAGTACCGGTTCAGCACGAACCGGTGCTAAAGGGCAACCACGTGGCACGAGCCAGCTCCGGGGCCGGGAGCCCTTTAGTACCGGTTGGTAACACCAACCGATACTAAATGTTTGTGGGTTTTTGCTTTATTTTGTATTTTTCAATTAAATTTGTGTTACCAATTTAATTTAGGATTGTTTTACGTTATAATGAGTTGTAGTCGTCATCATCATCATCATCATCATCATCATCACCACCATCATCATCGCATATTAATAAATAAATAAACTCTAGCTAGCTAAAAATCATCATAGTCGTCTAATTACCACTATTTAATCATCATAGTCATTACCGCTAGCTATCTAATCATCACCAACACTGGCTACCTTAAAGAGGAAACATTCACTTTGTAACACAAGCAAAG